GATACCAACTGGCAAACTAAGGAATACTGGAGAGGCCACCTTAATGTTCTTCCATGATAATGAGATTGATGACTACCTTGTATGCCATCCTAGAGTCTTCATCCAGTGGCTGATAGAAACACAGGCAGACTCCCACAGCTAAATATTGAACTGAACTCCTGGAATCCAGTTGTAGAAGGTGAGGAATGATGAGCAAATTGGTCAAGAGCTGGCTGGTGAAACCAACAGAAACAGCTGACCTAAACAGTGGGAGCTCATGGACCCCAGACTGATGACTGAGAGGCCAGAATGGGACTGATCCAGACCCCTTGAATATGAGTGTCAATGAAGAGGCCTTGGCAATGTATGGTGCCTCATATAGTAGATCAATATTTATCCCTGTCATAAGAATGTCCTTTGGGAGCCCATTCCACATGGAGGAATGCTCTTTCAGCCTGGACACATGGTGAGGGCCTAGGCCCTGCCCTGGATGATATGAAAGACTTTGGAGATTCCCCATGAAGGGCTTCACCCTCCCTGGGGAGCAGAGGGGGGATGAGGTTGGGTGTTTGTAGGGTAGATGGGGGAGGGGAGCAAGAGGGAGCTGGGATGGGCATATGAAGCAAGCTTGTTTCTAATTTTAATAACACACACACACACACACATACACACACACACACACACACACACACACACACACACACACACACAAAGAATCTTATGGTTTGGTATATATGTCAGAGGAACTTAGCTGAAGTCTAGCATTCCCTTGTCATGGAGGTAAGGAAATCCATGCTAGGATTGTCCACTGGTTGTGAATCTAGGTTATATCTGGTAGGTTGAATAAAAGGAGTGGATGAGGCAGATTCTGGTGGAAGCCTAGATGATAGCTTGGCACAGGTAGTAATGGTGAGATTAGGATGAATCACAGTGATTGGTACCATGAGATGGACTAGAGAACTGTTAACACACAAGTATGGTTAGCTAAAGTAGGTCAAGCAACTGGATATGGAAACAGGGCTTGACTTGGCTGGTTGCATAGAACTGAAGATCAGGTTACCATGAGTATTTAGCAAGCTAGACTCTGGAGAAGTAACTGGAAATTCTGGTATGGAGTGTGCTAGTTGAAGCTTGGCTGTTAGCTAATCATTCCTGGCAAGATTCAAGCCTTTTGTCTCTAGGGATTATAAAATAGAGTTTTGACCAAAAGAGATGATCTCATGTTAATTTGTTCCAATTATTTCAACAAGTTTACCTTTTGAAATAGCAGTGACCAAATAAAAGTCATTGGCAGTATTGAGAATATAAAAGGAGGAAATATTTTCCTGATCAAATGACCAGGAAGTTTCTGGTATTAAACCCTGATGCATCAAGTGTTTTAAGCTTTATTTATCAGTATGACAGTCTAAAGATGTTTTCAATTTCTTGGAGTCTTCTACATGCAGGAAAATATTTTTCATGGAAAAGGAGACAATTTACAGAGATTTTATTTGAGTGATATAAACAGAAGTCATCTGGATGTAGTCATGAGAAATTTTCATTATTAATACTTCAGTAATAAACCACTATTGTTTCATGTTGAGGTCCTGGATTGCTTGTGAGTCACATGGATGCCATTGTACTGCATAAAATGAAGACCTTTTGGATGCCTTTATTACAACTGACACAAAAGAGAAAAATTAATACAATTAATTGTAGGGTTGTGAACTTTAATTAACATGACCATATATAGAGTGTTAACACTTTCTAATTATTAGGTGGACTTTTTGTACACATGCAAATAATACATCTTTGTATTTTTATGAAGAAATTTGATTAGACTGTGACAATGTCCACATATCTATTTGAGTAAGTCAACATTAAATTTGAATATTTTGAATTTAAATTTTAAGATATATATAATTGTATTTCTCTGAAAGACTAGGATGATAGAAATTTTTGTGAGAATGTGTTTTCTGCAGTCTCTTGGTCCTCTTTCCTCTTCTATTATATGTACATATGTTGTCCTTGTGGTCCGTGGAGACACATAGGCACATGTGTCTACCAGCAAATGATATTTTGATATTTACAGAACAAAGTCAGAACCATGTTTTGATTATATAACCCCCAAAAAGGAAGGCAAACTAAGATTCCTGTGATGCACTAAAATACAGTTGGTATTTTAAGTCATGTGTTACCAAAGGAAGTATCTAAATTGGAAAATTAAGATTCTAAACAACAAAATTAATAAAAAATGCAAGTATATTTGCTATCAGTATCACAGACTACTCATTTTTATGTGGGGAGTTAGCATGGTTATATTCCATTTTGCCACATAGCAAGTGAAATATTTCACATTTTACAGATGACAGTGATTCATTATTTTTATTTTATATGCCATTGTGTTTATGTGTTCTGTTTAAAAGGATGCATAGTGACTTTAGATAGTTTAAACAGGGAAATTAAAAATGCTGTATTCTCTCAACAGCCTAAGATGTACAAGATCAAATGTCTATTATGTTGTTTTGTCATGTTGTATTTTATGTGGATATATTAAAATTGCTCACTGATTATGCTAGTATTTGCAAATAGAGAAAGGCATATAGGAATGCCTGTCTTGCTACCACAGATGACTGTTAGTTTGGTATTGTGTACTACTGTATACAGTATTTAAAAAGGGGATAATTTCTCTGGATAGTTTACCTTCTACTCTCATGTCTTTTGTGAGTGTATGATTTTTTAAGCATCTAACCCACAAATGAGAGAGAATGTAACATTGTTCTTTCTGATACTGAGTTAAATTGACTATACATTTATTTTCCTTTGTATCTGTGTTCCATCAAGTGAATACATTTACTCTCCTTATGTGTGATAAAACTTCAGTGCTAGGCAAAGTATTTTTTAAAATATAAGACTTTTTTTAAAAGTCATGTTCTTAATAATGGATTATCGTCTTATTTTTCAAGAAATGTGTTAACAGTAATTCAAAATTGAAAGCAGTCAAACTATTTTTAATGTTTAGAGAATCAGCCTTTTGACAATGTACATTATATATAGGTCTGGTATTGTGTAGCTTATGTACTCTGTTTTTTTACTATTACATAAATAATCACATAAGACTCCAAAAGGTTTTACCTCTTGAAAACAAACGATGACAAATAATGAAAGCCATCGAAATTTGTAGAAGAAAAATATATATAAGACAGAATTTCACAAAAGTAATTTGATAACCCTGTGTTCTGTGACAGGCATGTCTTTGACAGATGGGAACTTCAAGAATAACAATGATATATTTTCTGACTCAGATGGAAGCTTAAATGTGAATGAGACACATATAAGATGCATCCCAACTGCTTCTACAGCTGCTGTGACTCTGCATGTCCTTCTCTGTTACCAAGTTCAGGCAAATGGTATTTTGCTTGCAGTCAGTCCAAATATATTCTTCACAGGTAAATACTGATAATATTTAACATAATAATAAATGACTCTCATATATATATATATATATATGAGACTTTCATATATATATGAAATAATTCCTAAGGTATATGATTTTAATCCAAGTCCAGAAGTAGTTCATGAGCCACACATATGCTGTTTTTCTCTGACACAGACTATGCCTACATTCCTATTAAGTGGACAGAAATTCTCATGACTTATTTTCAGCTGATGAACTAGCCAACACTGAGATAGAAGAGGGGCTGGGCAGTGTGTAGGCATTTCATAAGAATATAAACAGGCCTTTCTAGGAGATGGATATTATGAAGGTCCTTGTGTTACAAATGGTGAAGCACAGATGAGAGGAGACTTACAAATATGTTTAAAATCAGGATCACACAAAATGAATCAACCACATACTGTCAACAGGTGTGCGGCTTCAGGGTCCACAGTTCTCATCACTGCTCTTTATCTGTTCAAGTAATTCTCAAATTCATTCCTGCTATACCATGAACATTAAAATTAGAGATATCATTCTGTCATGGTAGTTATTAGATTCCTCTTTATATTATTAGTATCATTCATGAAGGAAAGATAAGCTTGGATAGTGTGCAAGTGTGAACAAAGAAAAACGACAACAGAAGAGAAAGAGGAGAAAGAGGAGAGGCCAAAAGAAAAAGTGCTATAGACCAATTGAGACTATGAGACTAGGAAACACTTTGAAATATTGTCTATTACCTTTGTTTTAGGACTCAATTAGTGATATGTTTGTAACTATGTTTAGAAAATGAACCCAACCATCACCTTTGAATTCTAGCTGTGCAAGTTCTTTGACCTGTCTGCTGTTGGAGATCCAGGCAATGAATTCCTATGTGAAGACCCTGGGCATGTAGGATGTATTACAAAACAATTATGTCCTACTCCATATTCATTCTGTCTTTTCTATTTCCACCTGTTTCTCTGTCTACCTTTTCTTGAGAGGTCTGGAAAAAGTATACTATCTGCAAAGGAAGGATTTTTGAGAGTGATGGGTTAGTATAGATAAAGTAAAAATACTTATAGAAAACCTGCAGATAGATTTAATTGTCTTACTAATTAATAATAAGCAAGTGTGAAATGGACCTGTAACCAGTAAAATATGTCAGATCAGATGAATTAATTATTATAGGTAATTGTGTGCTCAATAATATTGGAGGTACTTTGTGCAGTTCAAATCTACTTTTTTGATGAAGTAAGATATATGATAACTAAAATTATATTAATATATATTATATAATATATAATACACACACTATATATATATATATATATATATATATATATATATATATTCACTACCCAAGTTCTTATTTAAAAATGTTGTCCATAGTATTAGGAGAACAAAGTCTTGTCCTTTATTACTTGACATACTTGTGTTTAATGCCACAATCATTCTTTAAGTTTAAAGGAGAGACATTTCTCTGTTCATTTCCTGCTGCTCTGAATGCCAAGGTGTGATGTGCTTTAAAGGTATGGGTACAGAGATACCTCTTTCTGCTTTTCTATCTACAGATTCACTGATGTTCAAAAAAACCTAGTGGCAGGCCCTGTTCTCCTTAGTTTTTCCTCTGGAACAAGCCTGATAGAAGATTAAATGGGCCAAAACAACAATGTCACAGAATTTGTCTTGCTGGGGTTTACTCAGGATCCTGCTGGGAAAAAGGCATTGTTTGTTGTGTTTCTACTCATCTACATTGTGACAATGGTGGGAAACCTGCTCATTGTGGTTACAGTGATTGTCAGCCCCTCCTTGGGCTCCCCAATGTACTTCTTCCTTGCTTCTTTGTCACTCATGGATGCTGTTTATTCCACTGCCATCTCACCCAAGGTTATTGTAGACTTGCTCCATGACAAGACAACCATCACCTTCACAGCTTGCATAAGCCAGCTCTTTATAGAGCATTTATTTGGTGGTGTTGATATTGTCATTCTGGTGGCAATGGCCTATGATCGGTATGTGGCCATCTGTAAACCCCTGCATTATCTGATTATCATGAATCGACGTGTGTGTAACCTTTTCTTATTGATGGCCTGGGCAGGAGGTTTTGCACATGCTATGTTTCAAGTTCTTGTTGTGTGTAAACTTCCTTTCTGTGGTCCCAATATCATTGACCACTTTGCCTGTGACACATACCCACTATTGCTACTTGCATGCACTGATACCTACTCTATTGGCCTCTCTGCTATTATCAATAATGGGGCCATGTGTATAGTGATCTTCATTCTCCTCCTACTTTCCTATGGAATCATCTTAAGATATCTCAAGAATCAAAGTCAGGAAGGGAGACGCAAAGCTCTGCTCACCTGCAGCTCCCATATCACTGTGGTTTTCCTCTTTTTTGTCCCCTGTATTTTCATGTATGCTAGACCAGTTTCTAGTTTTCCTGTTGATAAATCCATTACTGTATTTTATACAGTTGTCACCCCCATGTTGAATCCTTTAATATATACTTTGAGAAACTCAGAGATGAAAAAATCTATGGAAAAGCTCCTGCAAAAACTTTTAAGTCCTGATAGAATAATATTTTCTTCTTGCTTCATCTATTAAGCACCAGGCAACTGACATGAAGAAATTCTAGAAGTCTGTGTTTCATCTTGAACATTTATATCAATACTTGAGATTGTGAAACAACTTGTACTGTAATGTTATTTGCAAATATTATACTTAGTTGTGCTTTTTTCGTAGTGTAGCTGCTTACAATATCATTCAGTTTTTGACTATCCCTTTTAATCTTTTCGATGAATTGTCTATTTTAGTTTGCTAAAGTTTCAATAAATAATTTTCCTTAAATGCTTTTTTTGTTTTTGTTTTTTTTTTTCAAGACAGGGTTTCTCTGTGTAGCTTTGGAGCCTATCTTGGCACTTGCTCTGGAGACAAGACTGGCCTCAAACTCACAGAGATCCTCCTGCCTCTGCCTCCCAACTGTAAATTTTTTTTCATACAGTATATTTTGACCATGTTTTTCTTGTCTCCAATCTTTTTCCAGATCCTTCTCACTCCCTCTCAACAAACTTCATATTCTGTCTCTATACCCTTCCCTCTATTGCACAGGTCCCTGGGCCGTGAAAGGAAGCATTAGATAGAAATATTCCATTTAAGAAAAATGTGATGGACTTAGTCCTAAACAATTTTCTTAATATAATCTCTTTGGTAGAATTCTTTAGGTTCTTCTTTCAAATACTCCTATATTGTCATGTGTATTAAAAATTATTCTTTTTATAATTTGTCTACACTACTTACTTTTATTTTATTAATAAACTTTCTATTTTAATTAAATTTTACTTTGAAAGAATTCTCTTCCAATGTTTTTGTAGATTAAGAAACTTATAATCTGCGATCTACTTATGTTTTGAATTGTGCAAGCATTGTATAGTTTTAAGTTGACTTAATTTTCATTTATTTTCACTTATAGTATTGATTTCTGTGTGGTGAGAACCCCGCAATCTACTTGCCTTGCGTTGTAAACTATGCTATTTTTAATTATGATTTTAATAATTGTCCCTTTCTGTTACCATAAATGTATTTCCTAGTTTGATGACATTATCATTTCTTTTATATTTTATATTCATGTTCTTTTGGATCTCTTTCCAGACCATTTAATTTGGTGAATTAATCTTCCTTCTAAGTTACTACTTTTTTATTATATGCCAGTGAATTAAGTTTTGACAAATAATAAATTATATCCTATTAAATAATTCTATTTAAACAACATTTCCACAATAGCATTATCTTTGGCTGGTAGTGTGTTTACTGTATAGATAGTTTAGAAAAGACCTGATATCTTGATCTCAATAAATCTTTCTTTTGGGGAACATGAAAACCTACCTTTCTGCATGCCCTAGAATCCATTATTAGTTTTAATATCAGTTTGGTTTCATCATTCAGAATTTCCACATTTTTCCTCTGCATTTTTGTAATTTGTGTTTTTTTTTAAATTTTAAATTGCTTTCTATCCTGCATTTTCTAGTTAAGATGGCAAATATGTAAGGAAGATAAAAATAAATTCAGATGCTCTATAATGCATCTTTATACAATGTGATAAAATATTTGTTAATTCCTTGGATGTGCTAGATAAAAATGATACCACACTGAAATAAGTAATTTTTGTTTCTAGCACTTCTACCCAGTATTAATAACATATCTCCTCATCATGCTAATGTATTAGTTAAAATTGAAAAATAAGGATCATCATTTGCAAGATACTCTCTAGTTTATTTCATGGAGGCAATCAAAATTTATTTATGCATTTCCCCCACTAAGAAGGCTTTGAATTTATTTTAAAAGGCCATAAACTCTTCAAATAGTACTATAATATACCCTTTGAGGACCTCAGTAATGACTGTTATTTGGAAAAGCTTTATCAAGAAAAAGCCATGGTAGGTTGCACACAACTGAATCACCATGAATATAGAGGGATTTAGTTTTGGTCACATGATCTGTAGAGAAAGGACTCTTCTGAAATGTAATGCTGTGTTTCTCTTTCTTTGACTTATTTATGGTAATTATAACTGAAATACAAATTAATGTTTCTGTTATCAGCAACAGGATATTTTGATAATACAAGCTCTATAATATATGATCTATGAAAATTCCTAAATAACAAAGTGTCTGAAAATTTCATGGAATATATTATTGTGAGAAAATTTTACCATTACACACAAACCTATATATTTTTTGTTTTTTAATATTAAAAAATCAAAATATCCATCTTTACACATGACTTGATACTATACTTAAATTATACTAATGATTTCACCAGAAAATCCTAATCATGAAACCATTTTCAATTAAGTGACAGATTCATACACCCATCATTCAAAACAAATGGACTGGGATGGGAGCAGAGGAGTGGACACAGTATGAGGAATGATAGCCTTCAAACCACAAAATACCCACACTTTAGAACTAATAGCTACCACATATACAGAAGAACTACAAAATAGAAGGTTTCAGAGCTCACAAATTCAACTCTTGTTTTCATACCTGCCATTCAGAGTTTTATTATTTTAATTATGTTTAACATCGTTTTTATACCATATCTTCTGTAGAAATCATGTAAATTTTAGAACCAGTCAAATTATTACACAGAGGTGAGAAGGCTTCTAATGACTTTTCTGATATTCACTGATTCCTGACACATGAAGGCAAAATTCAGAGTTTGATTGTTTGGAAGCAGAAAGATTGTAAAAGTCAGAGATTTGGGAAGACAGCTGTAAAACACCATCTTTTCAACACAACAGGGTCATTGCACTCATGAACCCATAGCATCTGGGGTTGCCTGCACAAAGTCAAGTCAGTCAGTATTCCACCATGTATGGGGGAGGGCTTCACAGGCCACTTCCCTAACTGAGGAGTTATTGTCAGTTAATAGTTTCTGGGTGAGAAAATTTTTCTTCAGTGTGTGTCTCCTGGTAGGTTACTAATGCTGCTGTGAATGGCTCTGCACTAATGCTCACATGGACTGTCTAATGGAACACAGTGGAATGTATAATACGTAAATATAAAAGACATGAAGGTGGGAGGGAAAAGTGGGAGTGGGGTCCTAGGAGGAATTGTTGGGGTTGATTGTGTGTGAAAATGCTCAAAACATATTGTGAGCACTTATGAAGTTGTCAACAAAATAATAAAAATTGTTTTTTAAAAAGCACAAAGACTAGTGATGTTATTTATTTTGCAAATAATACATTTCCTACTACAGATTTGAATCTATTTGTTTCGTAAAATTTGAATTCCTTTTTAAGTAAGCAGTAAATATTTGGGATACATGTGATCACTGGATTGATGACAAGCTAAAACAAGGGAATATATTGGAAGGCCTTTAGCACTGTTAGTTTTAGGATAATGACAAGGTCTTTCTAATAGTAATGATTGTTTAATATTAGAGCGAATGTCAAGGGTAATAAGAGAAGGAAGATCAATATGGGTACATCTCATATAGGTCTAAGCCTTAATCAAAAGCTTTGTTTATCAAAAGTTAGAACACAAATTTTCAGCTCTAAGATATTCAGAAGTCACAGCTCTTAACATCGGCACATCAATGCTTTTTGGACTGATTGAGACAAAAATTTGCTGTCCTATCCTAAACTGCAGGGGCCGAGTCTGCTTCCATTTCATGCTAGTTTAACCATTACTTCCCCATTGCACATGCATCACTATGTACTACTCTTTGTTCCTGTGCATTGCACTTTGGAAATTTTCTTTTCACATTATATGTTTTCCAAATAATCTTTGGAATTAGCTACTCATTGTTGGCAAGGTCTGATGCTCTCACCTCAGGGGATTATGGAAGTGAAGACGCCTGTTCAAGAGACATTGCTTCATTTGAATCTGTTCCAAATATTCTAACTAGCTCATGTACTAAAATATATGAGTCTACAGGTTAATATAAATGGAAGAACTATTTTTCCCTACTAAATGTTCTAGAGACCTTTGAAAACTCAATGACTGGAGCATGCTTTCATTTGATATTTAGTACTTGATAATGTTTTTCTTGCAGTGTTTATCATTATTTATACATGTTTGTGGAAAGTTTGAATTTTCCAGACCTTGTACATACAAGGACATGATTCTAAACGGGAAAGAAGGGGCCTTAATGAAATTATACTTCAAGTTCTTTAGAGACAGAAGACCTCTTTTGCTCATAGGAATTCATCAGCACTGTAACAAATTTTCAATAATTACCTTTGTATTGTTAGGTAGTAATATATTTGTGAGGGAGGTCAGTGCTATCTTATTTCCTTAAAGCAAGATCTGTTTTGAGTGATTTACTTCAGTGGACTGAAAATAGAAAAAAATCACATAATTCTTTTAGAGATCAAATTTTTTGTGTCAGAAAATAATGGAGTTGGACAGAATAATTTCTGCTTACTGTATAGTTTTATGTACTTGTAAAAACAAAGATTCTTTTTTTTCTGAAGATATTTTTTCCAGAAGATATGACTATCCAACTGTCCTTTACAGTAAGTGTTGATGTTATATTTAGATATTTTTTATTTTAAATATTCACTTGGACACACTTATACCACTCAAAAAGACTGAGATAAAGGAAGTCTTGTGTAAATGTGTTGAGTGCAGGCATTTGATATTTTTTTGTGTGTTTACTGAACAGCTATAAATTACCATGTGTTCTAAAAAGCATATAAGCACATGAAAAATTTATAATCAATACAACAAAAGACCTTCATTTTCCACAATAAAAATTAGACATAAGCCGGGCGTTGGTGGCACAAGCCTTTAATCCAAACACTCAGGAGGCAGAGGCAGGCAGATCTCTGTGAGTTCAAGGCCAGCCTGGTCTCCAGAGTGAATGCCAGGATAGGCTCCAAAGCTACACAGAGATGTCTAAAAAAACCAAAAAAAAAAATTAGACATAAGATGTATGTTTATGTTGGCAGAAAGAAAACACCTTAATTAAATATTCCTTTGCTAATGCCTTAAAGGTCATGCATTCTCATAGGAAATACGTACATTAGAAATATTAAATCACACAAAACCACATACCCAAAATCAGAATATATGTAGTATTTTTGTTTAAATGGATTTTATTT